ATTTATCAAATTCATTAATAATTCATTGGGTAAACACAATGGAAAATCATTACCGTGACCACATCGTTATATGAGCAAGTGATTTGTCCTAATTTGACTTTAACTTCGATTTTCTCTTAGAGATGATATCGTATCTTGAGTTTTTTTTGCAAAATATGCTTTAGCTTATGTGGGGATTTGATAAGCAATATAAAATATTCGCGTCCGACCTTTAAGAGCTTGAAACTGTTCGCTTACCACCCGTGCCTATAAAGATATCCCGCCCATATTTATAAATTACATAAAATGGCTTGGCAGCGGGAGGGTTGTCCAACACTCCGACATGACACGGGTTGACAAATGTATTTGACGGGTTGACCATGTCGCTATTTAAGCAATTTTGTTTGAAACCTCCCCACCCCAGGTTACATTTATTAGTCATCTCCATCGGTGGTTATAGATAATGCTAATGTATTTCATGTCACTTGTCAACCCGTGTCATGTCGCAATACTGGACATACTTGGGTAGTTGCTCGCAGAAACTGGATTTCGGATGTTGAGATCACAAGTGATTTTGTTGTTTCTCCAAGGTCTATCACAGAAATTGCTTCGTCTGTTTTGAATGCGGTATTCGACTCGAGTCAACGACTGTAAATGATCACGAACACGGCATCTACTGCAGCGGTAAGGTTAACACTCGATGATCTTCTTTCCTAATGACGTCATTTTTGTCGAAATGCATCATGGTATTGATAAGTGAGATTAAATTCGCGTGATTTAATTCATGCGGTATTTTCTTTGCTCAATCTTATCTAACTTTTAAGTTTAAAGGGCTACTTGGACGAAAATTGCGAAACATTAGAAAAGACTAATAATCATGTAATAATCATGAAGCAACAGATTTCAAGAGAATATTGATGCAAATCCTTAATAATTTGGGCAAAAAACGTTGGAGTAGAAGACGTCATTTACTCCATCCTTTTGTTCTTCCATCTTTTGAATCAAAATTTCTCTGATGTGGGATAATTCCAAGACAAATATTTTCCCGCAATTGCTTTTAAGAGATATAAATGAGTCATATATTTGTATTGCTTGAAGTTTTGAAATAAGGCCATTTTCATGCAAGTAGCACTTTAAATAAAAGAGTATGACTACTAGTGTGATATATTTCCCTTCCTTAGCTTGTTTTAACTCTTGAAATTCTTGATTTTCAACAACATGATAAGAATCCATCGAGAATAGTCTCCTTCACTGTTACCTGCGCCATGCTGAAAGGAAGCCGTGCCTTTACATCGAAGCGAGACGACCGTAGAGCGTGCAATGATAGATACCTGTGAATAATTGTCTGTAAGTGTGAAAGGTTTCTATCATTGCACGCTCAACGGTCGTCTCGCTTCGATACAAAGGCACGGCTGCCTTTCAAGATGGCGCAGGGAACCGTGAAGATTATTAAAGAACAAAGCTATCGCCGCCATGTTGGATGAATGAACAAGAGAAACTAATGAGGAATGCTTTGTCATTTTCATCCAACATGGCGGTGATGACGTAGCATGAAACCGAGGAAGAAAAAAGGATGGCGGCCAGCTGGAAAATCACTAACTAGTTTACTTGCCCTCAATAGCTATCAACTTAAATTACCTAAGTGCGACTCATTTCTTTAGTATTTTCATTACTGTACACTTAGAATTGTGAGCAAATTCTAATTTAATTCATATTCTAATACAATTTCGACCTTATGTTTTCAGCCTGTTATGCGAAAAGATATGGAGCAAAAGGCTACGGTTATGGAGTTGGCGCTGGAGCACTAAAATTTACCGGAAAAAAATGACTAAYTTTGACTTACATTGCATTGTTACATCTTATAAGACAAGTGCTTGTATCTTTTTGGTCATACTTAATTAAAGCTTTCTTGAGCTGAGAATATGTCCATTTTGTACCCAAAAGACGGATTTATAGTGAAAAATATTGTGTACTTATTGACTGAGTTAGGTCGGGTCGTACGGGAAAATATTTGGCTCGAGGTTATGCCGTACGGAACGAGCGCAGCGACAGCGTTTTTTAAGCCATTTCTTTGATGAAAAGATCGACTAACTTCAARCCTGGAAGATACGGGTTTGCACGGCCCTGTCGCGAAAAGGCCTACGTCCCCCATCACGTGACCATTTCCCAAAGGTTTTTTAAGAGCGCGCGTAGGGCCGAAATACGGGTCATATTGTAATGTTTATTATTGTTGTGTGGAATTCAACCTTCGCGCTTTTGCATACAGCAATCATATCGTAGAAACTTATCTACAAGCTTATATCGTGAAGTTCATTCCCAAATAGCTAAGTTCTTCTCTGAATGCTTCAGATGTACATAAAATCTTCATTTTTTCACTCAATGAACTCGAACTCGAAACCCAGCAGTTTTTTCGTAAAACAGTTCTATAGTTAGTTATAGTTAGAGTGAAAATTGCGCAAATTTTGCCTGGTATGCGCAGACGCATTCTGAGGAACAAAACTGCYACAATAAGTTGCAAGTAAATTCACATTATATATTGTAATAACACCATTTCACGAACTGCAACACGTAACTCCTATCTTGACAAATACAGCGAGCACTTTCCCTTACTCAAAGCAAATTAACAATGTAAAACGGGTACCCTAAATACGTCGCATTTAATGTTTACGTGTACATATCAGACAGATTGCGTATCGTAAATCAAGTTCGCAACTTCACTTACGTTAACGTCAATTTACACTGCGAAAAGTTCACTTTACATGCGATATATGATTCTTGCGTCATATATACGAGAATTGCGTCGCGTACATCAAGTCCGCAACTTCACTTACGTAAACGTCGATTTACACTGCAAAACGGTTGACTCTACATGCGATATATGATTCTTGCGTCATATATAAAACAAGAATTGCGTCGCGTAAATCAAGTTCGCAACTTCACTTACGCAAACGTCGATTTACACTATAAAACGCTTACTCTACGTGTTATAAACGATTCCTGCGTCATACATAAAAGAATTGCGTCGCGTAAATCAAGTCCGCAACTTAACTTGCGCTATGGCAAATTTGCGCTATAAACTGTGTACCCTTCATCAGATCATGTTAATGTTAACGTTAAACGTAACAGGAGTTGCGTCGCGTAAAGAAAGCCTACAGCCTATTACAATAAAAATCGATTTTCACTGTGCAACCTTTGCYTACTGTACAAATTGGTATGTWAGGCAAGCGTCAAAGCGAGCCTGCAAGTCTTTCYGTTTTGGCGAATTTAWAATCCCAAACCGGTTTTCTTTTGCTTAGCAATACATCAAGAAGGTTAAMTACAAGAAGTTTTATTCAAAAGCACTAGTTATTAGAGTAAGTTAAAATTTTCTTCGTGCTGTTTTTATCCTTAAAATCTGTCAGCGGTAATTTTSCCGCCATTTTTGGTGCGCCGCACGTRTCTTCACACTTTCCATTTCTTYTTGCGAAAATGGGCTTTGCGAAGAAAGTAATAAATATCTTTGAATTAAAAATTCTGACTTTTGCTTATAGTTTACCTAGTTTGATTARATTATAGTTGACACATTTCAAGGACCGAAGAAAGATTTTGGCTTTCGTCTTAGTCGACCTCGACWATCCATCCTTCTGGTCCGTCAAGTCGGCCATACTAGAAAAGCGAAAAAGTACGGTTAGGAAATGACAAAATTTCTTAGAAGGTGGGACAGCGACACCATTTTCTATAACTGAGAGCGAGCGCGTACTGTGTATTTTAGTTTTGGGCTTCCTCTGCCGAATCTATGCCGTATTTGAAAAAAGACGGCTGATTGTTCAAAGGCCTTTTCGTTATAATATCTGTTTTTAAAATGTTTTAAACGATGTACGGAGCATTAAAAGCTTAGAAGTGTCAAACACGAATCRACATGGACTTCCAAATAAGGTATAAGATTACCATATATGGTTGTTAAAAAGAACATCTACCCTTTTAAGTCAAATTCGTCGATATATTATATGACGTCTTGGCTCCGCTTCAAGTCAAATTCAATTCTTACCTGAATTCCAGTAAGTTCATCATAAAGTCGTTTAGTGACATCCAAATTTTCCATCGTCGGGATCATTATATTCTACAAAGACAGCATATGTTTATCTAAAAATAGCCTCCTTCGCATGCAACTCTACTCTGCTGGATTCCTGTGTTAAGTCAAAACAAACTTGCCGGGGGAGGGGGTTAGGAAGAAAGGAAAAGCCGGCTTTTTATTCGTTGTTCCTAAGGGAGAATCTACGTAGCACTCAGTTGATGTAATATATTCATAAAGATATAATACAAAACACACAATACAATAGAAGGAGAAACAATGGAATACAATACATTTTATGAATACATTACATCAACTGCGTGCTACGTAGGTCACCCCTTGTTCCTAATCTCTCGAAACCAGTTCTTTTCGGTCAAGATTATGAACACAGGAAGACCGAGAAGAGAAGAAAGTTCGTTGGAGTAGCCTGCGAAGTAGGATATCTAAAACTTAACAAATAGTTTTGGTTTGAATTTTTACATAAAATTGTTKTCTTACCTTTCCTTGGTAGAAAATTCGATTGATTGGGCATACAACACACGCCGTCCCTGAACCAAACATCTCTAGAACCTAGAACAACAACAAACATCTGTGAATCATAAAACCAAGAACTAACAAGGCAAGAAAACAACATTTTCCAAAGAATGTTGAAAACCTGTCGTAAAAATCAAGCAAACATACATGTATTTCACTGTCACTGCTGGTTATAACTTGGAAAAAAAACTGTTTTGATCTCGATTGTTGAAGCAAAGGTGAATTGCTTGCACTTCTTTCCAAGTATCACTAAACATTCGTAAACATATTTGTAAACACAGTAGTCTTTTTCAAATACTGCATTTATTTTCTCTAGTTAGAAACGTCACTTATTTAATATTTTTTTCTTGGAAACACAAGAAAAGAATTCAGCGACACCATTCTCTTTTGCTTAAATATACTTGCTTGAATAATTTTCGATATACATTCTCGTGTTTTATTTGCATAACAGCTTGAAGCGGCGGAAAGAGAACAATTCACGGATTATGTACAYTTCCCATCATGCTTTGTTGTACAAAATGRCGTCGCAATACTACATACGTCAGCAATGTCGGAGAACAATGCGTCCRCCATCTTGAAAAGTGCGACCCGAATCACTAAATTATAACYCCYAAAGGAATTAAAAGCTTYTAAGCTAAGTCAAGTTAATATAATACGATATAATGATAGATTAGTCGACTTAGCAACTACGAAATGTTCTAAGGCACAACATAGTGATTCGAATCTCACTTTTCAAGATGGCGGACGCATTATTCTCCGAAAGTACTGATGCATGGTACCACAGGGTTCCCAATCAGTCTTACCCTGTTCTCGTTGACAGCCTTCAACAAATCCTTCATGTTGAACTCTCGTTCTGTGACCTGGAACTCATCCTAGTAAAACAAAACACTTTACTTCAACAATGGGCTAATAATCACGAAGATTTTATCTCAACTTAAAAAACTCATACATAATTAATGAGCTACTAGGCCAATAGAATGAGCCTATTTGGTCACATGCATGGACCTTTATATCTGATAAAACACTCCTTATTAGTATTCTTTATATAAAGAATACTAATAAGGGTGACCTTTATCAGATATAAAGGTCCATGACCCTAGCAAAGGTCTCAGGTTTGAAACCTGATCATTGACCAATGCAGGATGTCAACCGATTTCAGTRAACAKCCAAGAGCGSTTCTATTTTACTTTATGCGTATTCAATGTGGGATGACAAGAGTGCTTTGTAAAGTGATTCGCGCATGATCAGTTTGCCCCATTTATCTCTGAACATATTTTTACGGTAATTTCTCCTGATAAAACACTCTCTCTCGTGTTTTAAACTATACAAATAATACCCASGAGGGGAGGGGTAATCTGTTTGGTACTCACCCACTTTTTACCAAGTGCTAATAATGAGCTTCGAGTCACTCCAGGCAAAATGAGACCATTCAGCGGTGGCGTGACAAGCTCTTTCTCTGATTGTTTAAAAGAATTATATTAGTCACGCAATGGAGAGTTGTGTTATCCCCAACCACGGCCCAACCATCCATCCATTCATATAGCACATTAAAACCTTGTTTATCCGGTCACATAAGGGATATTGAAAGTGATCGTATTAGCCGMACGGAGAATGCACGGGGRTTGAATGCCGGCGACATAACTATATCTTCTTATGATAACATTTAACAAAGATTCATTTGTTAAATTCATTTGTTGTCATAGCTTAAGGGAAGCGAGTGTGGCTAAGGGAGGCAAGGGTTGACAAGCGGTGAGACCGCTGGCCTGTTGCTTCCTGTGAATCCTGTTCGAGTCTCGGTAGGGATACCACGTGATCCCAAACATGCAAAATGAAAAGTTGTTTGTGGAGGAGTGTATTGTTTACATACCTCCTTGTTCATTGATCCACAACATAAACATATTCATTGTTCCAACCTCTGTGATCTATAGCATAGAATGACATGAATGGATTTCAATGAAACCTAGAATAACCTAGAGTTACGTGGTAGGGGAGGCAATATACGCTTGTACCCCAAAGATTTTATTAAATTGAATGGAGGAGAAAATTGATACGATTTTTTCAAGCTTTTTATTATGTGTAGCTCTCCCTTCCTCCTTCTCCCCCCCTCCCCCCCCCCAAAAACAAAACCTCTCGCTACGCCCCTGAAAATCAGTTGAAAATTCATGTCTGCTTAGAGAAATTTTTGTGTGAACAGACGTTTATTTTTTAAAGCTAAACGTTAAATATGCCTTGCCAGACATCTTGTCCACACGCTCATCTGCCGTTCATTACAAGGCAACTACTGAGAATACTAATGTCACTCAAGTAAAAACTCCCAATCAAAAATCAGCAAATCCAGGCTGTAATAGAACTGGTTAAACTGTTTGTTATCCAATCAGATCAAAGCGTGCTCATGTCATGTTATATA